GGTGTTATCGGCCTTCTAAAATTGTCATTTAGCATTTTAATCAGTGTTAGGTTTTACATAATTTATATTTCAATTGTGATTCGATTGATTTAAACCTAAAGATTTAGTTTTTGATCTTTTAAAAAAAAGTTTTAATTACTTTATTCTTATGTGTTTCCTTAAAGACATGAAAATTAATTGATCAGAGAATTCAAGAGAGTTTTTGAATACCAGTTTCCAAAAGTTTTAATCTGCTGATTACACATTTGGATACCTTTTATTCTTCTTTGTTTATAGATTAACTACTTTCAACAATGAAAGATTGAAAAGTTATTTCCGAAGACTAGACAAAACATAAATGGCTGTCAGTCTCAATTATTTTGTTTTCTGCATTTTTTAATGTGTATATATTCTTTTTATATTTATTTCTTTATGTTTTTGATTTTTTTTATGACTTTTTTTATGATTTGTATTTTTTAACTGCAGTGTCTGAATTTAACGCTACAGTAAAATATGTAATTAGAAAGCTAATCATTACATTTCTCTTATTCTATTGTAATTTTTTTGACATTTCATAATGAAGCAATACAACATTTCACAACAAATACATATATTCACAAGATCACTTCAAAGTAGAACAGCTTTACTTAACTATTATAGAGAATAAAAAATGACAACTATGTAGGAGCATTTAGTTATATTTGATAAATCACTAATTATTTATATAAAGGCAATATGGTACATTTTAAATTCCTAAAAGGGATCTGTCAATGTTACACTGATCTGCAGTTAAACGGCAAAGACCTGAGTTTTTAAGATTAGCATTTTTATTTGCATATATTTATATTTAGCATCAATACTTGCTGAATTAAGGCTGCATGGTGGTGAAGTGGGTAGCTCTTACTCCCACAGTCCATAATCATGACTGTTAGGTTAATTGGCTTCTCTAAATTGTGCTTAGGTGTGAGTGTGTGTCTGCATGGTCCTGCGATAGAATGGCGACCTGTCCAGTGTGCTCCCCGACTCTCGCCCATAGATTGCCGTAGATAGGCATTGGCTCCACCGTGAACCTGACAAGGACTATCAGAAAATAAATGGATGGATGGATGGATGGAGGACTTACATAGTTGGCATTAATAACTGTTATTTTTTCTGTAAAGTCTCCAATTAAAAACATTTCAAAAACTATCATGTTCAATAACACGCAGAGGAAAATAAAACAAAACATCTTTCCTGTAATATGTTCACCCTCTCTGATTTCAAACTGCATTTTGGGACACCTGTAAGACAGAGAGATGGGGGTTTGAGATTTGGACAGGCATTTGCTGATTTCTTGGCTTTCTCTTATTGGAAATTGGCCACTGTGTTGTAATTTTTGGCATGCTTTAAACTATTTGGTGTTTGCATTTGTCAACAGAGAGGTTCAGTTAATTTTTTATTTATTTATTTTTTTAAATTTTTTTTAATGCATGTAGAATTGAGTGTGCCGTTAAATATTCCTAATAGGTAAAAGTGAAAAATCATCCTGATGACTCTGCTGTGGGGCATTTTTTTTTTTTTTTGGAACATGAGCGCGGAGTTGCATTTCTAATGTGGTAGATATTGTGCTATATCAGTTTAAAAATTAGAAAGCAACTTAAACTACTTTTTGAATCAGACACAGATTGAATAATGTTTTTTTTAATGAAGATTTCAAAAGTTAAAGTTCATGTGTTAATTTAGAACTAATGACTAACTTTAAAGGCATTGGAAGAGTAGATTGCATGCATTTGATGAGAAAAATGCTTTGGAGACTTTGGTTGGACTTGGTTTGGGACAAAAAAAAAAAAAAAAAAGGTTATGCTCTAGGAGCCTCTTCCACATACTGTGCTTCTCCCTAAAAGGAAAGTAGCAAGGGGAAGCAATGTTTAAGGCCTTCTATCTTAAAATGTCCTAGTATGCAATCAAGTGTGATGTGTTCACTGACTGAAAAAATATTTCATTTTTGATTTTAGTCATCCAGTTACAGATCAAACATTAAATCCTCGGACTCTGGTGAGCAGCCAGAGTCTTTAAGTTGCATTGCTATCTGCATAAAATATGAGCAAAAAAACCATTTGTGTAGTTTACAGTGCACTATTTTTCACCTATTATCCAAAGGAGGAGAGGAAGGGGCTACTAAGGGAATAAAAACTGAGGGACAACCCGTTCAAGTCCTTAAGAGTCTCTATCCAACAGCTTTTAGATGCCTCCCTGATCTAAGACATCTGGATCAGATGACTGATTCATTACCAGGCTGGCACAGAACCTGATGACATGCTGAGCAGTTTTTTCAGCCATTAGAATCAGGTATGTCGGAGCAGGGGATGTATCCAAAGACTGCAGGATATGAGCTCTCCAACTGGAGTTGGTAATGTGTTTTGTTTGGAGAGGAGGCAGAACATGCTACCTCTGCTGTGGCAGCAAATTGATATATTTTCTTTTTAACACAACAATCCAGGAAATAATGTTAAGACGTCAGGAGTAAAGGCTGCAGAAATCTCTCCAGAAAATGAATGCATTCCCATCGTGTGTTTGTGAAAACCGTTGTGTATCAGATGTCCCTAGAAGGGCTTTACCTGACTTCATGTTTGGAAATCCCTCTCTTCTTCCTGACAAGCAGTCTGTTCCTGTTTGGCTGTGACGTCATCCTGGAAAAAAACATCAGCTGTGCTGCTTCTATCAACACCCTTGTTAATAGATGTTGGAGATCGGCCTGTTTTCCAGTGTGGTCCTGTTTCTCTGACCGTGACTGAGTGGATGTGCTCTCTTCGTCCTCTGGCATGGGAGCTGCCTTGGAGCTCGTCTGCCTGGCTGTGTGTTTCCTGGACGGGGCCGCCTTTTACAGCTGCTTTTTGTATCTCTGCTTCTGTCTCCTTGAACCCCAGTCGGCCTCGGCAGATGGCCGCTCACACTGAGCCTGGTTCTGCTGGAGGTTTCTTCCTGTTAAAAGGGAGTTTTTCCTCTCCACTGTCGCTACAAGCATGCTTAGTGTGGGGGATTGTATTTGAGTCAATGAGTCAATGCAATCAACTGGTTTTCCTTAGATAGAAAACTTTGTATCAATTTGACTGTATGATCTGGTTGAACTGTAAAGTGCCTTGAGATGACATGTGTTGTGAATTTGGCGCTATATAAATAAACTGAATTGAATTGAATTGACAAGCCTGTTATATTTTACTCATCCACATCATGCACAACACAATTCTCCGGTGGGGAGTGTGATAGTTCCCCCTGTGCATACTCAGCTATTCTTTTCTAACCTTGTGGACTTCTTCAATGATTTGTCTGGGTTTTTTTTTTTTATATGTTATATACTCCTCTTTGAATATGGTGGTTTCCTGGAACATGATTTGTAACCATAATTGAAACATGGACATTTCCACAGGGAGTCAATTGTCCTTGAATGTTGGAATCTGGGAGTTTTCTTGTGAGCTACTTCTTTTCATTTTGCTTTCACTGAGCTAACAAAACTGCTGAATAGTCTGAATGTTTGCTGGGTGTTATATAAAGGAAAAATAATTGTATTTCTCCTTAGATATACGTATTCTGCTGTTTCAACAAAGGCTGAAACTGCACTTTCCTGCACCTAACTATCATACAAATCAATTCTAGATGTCACTTGCATCAACATTATTTGATCAATTATCACATAATTAAAGTATCAGAAACAAACAGCTAACAGTTATTCTAACAATTGACAAACTTGACAAACTTGACAAACGGTAAGCTCAAATTTCTTGCAAATTCAGAAAAAAAAACTGTTTCCAGAACTTCTTTACAGCTTAAAGGCCTCTATTAGCCATGCTATCTGAGACACTGCACCTATCCTTAGGCTTGATCTTGATGATTTCCTGCAGCATTTTACTCTTTGGGTTCTAAAACTCCCACAGACCAATTAGCAAAGCAAATATTCAACCCAACTTGTAACTTGCTCCAGAATTCATGCTGTTGACGATGACATCTATTTCAAACTTATTCATGTTCATTAAGGCAAAATGCAGCCTCAGCAGATCTGCTTGGATTCTGAGATAGCGTAATATGAACACTGAAATGTTAAGGGAGAAAATACCATCTGCTGAAAGCTATTATTATATTGCAGTGGAAAATTAGTGAAAATGGCACTGACTGACCAATACAAGCATGTTAAAGTAGAACTGATTCTCTTTTACAGTGAGGTAATCTTGATAGTCTTGTTTGTAGTTTATCAAGTAGATTGTATATACTGTATTTAATTGTATGTTTACCTTAAAAAAAGAATCTCAGAAAACAGATCTTCATGATTATGGATCATTCTAGCAGATGAGTTTTTATAAGCATAGATTAAAACACAACCATCATGTTGAAGATGAGGAGACACTAAGCATTTCTTTTTGTTTGTTTTTATTGTCTTTTTTAATAATGTAGTTTCTACTGTGAGTTTGTTGTATGTACTGATTGTGATGATCCTTAAATAAAAAAAAAGAAATAAAAAAAAAGAAAACTTCAAGGACCAACAGAACCCAAACGATGTAAAAAAAACACACAAAAAAAACACACACATCCTATTTCTCCAAACTGTTTTTAAATGTTTTTCTGTAATATGATTCAAAATTTGAATTTTACCCTTTAAGTGAATGGGGGAGGTATATTTGTGCATCTTGTCAGTGGCCATGTGACTTGGCAAAGCTGATGGGACAACAGATGGACACAGTCACAGACTGACCTACACACAATTACCCACATAGGCATATATCCACATATGTCACCCTTCCTCTGTCCTCTTACTCATTACTTCATCACTCTCCCTTTGAGGATGTATTGCATCCAGTGTCATTCAGCCTTCATTCTTGTCCGTCTTTTTGCAGATTAGCTGTCCATTCTCCCCTAAAGAGTGGCCCATTTTAGTGTTATGTAGTGTCTCCATCCTGATGGTGCTCTCAAGATCTAAGCCCATCCATTTCGAACTGAATACCAAACACATCTGTAGTGTTATAATACATCTTTGTGATGTTTTTCCTTAGGGATGAAGACTCCACTCAGCCCGTCTCTGCTCCTGGAGAGTGGGCAGATCTTTGCCTTTGGTGGGATGGGCCAGGATCTAATGGATGCACCCACACCTTCAACCCTCAGTCATCCCATCCAGCAGACCTCATCCCCAGGTGATTGTTATTATCCAGGATTAGTAATATGTTACATTTTTCGGTGTCTCCCTAATCAAGAATCACCCCTGCTGTTTCCTCCAGGTCAGCATGGGGCGTTCTCCTTGTGTGAGGTATGTAACCTGCAGCTGACCTCGACTGCTCAGGCCCAGCTGCACTACAACGGCAGGTCACACCTCCGGAGAGTGAGACAGCTCCAAGCTGGAGAGGCACAGCAGCAGGCAGCAGGTGCATTAATGCTGAAGACCGAATTAAGGAGTCTCAGTGTAATCTCCACGAGGGAATGTTATTTTCAGCTTTAGTATCAGTAGCAACTTTAGCTTCAGCAGAAGCCTGATTTTGTCAGCTTTTTGTGAGCTTTAGCAGATCGAATTGTCTTTGATTCCAGCAGGAGCTCACACCAGGTCAGTTCCTCAGGCCACAGGATTGAACACTAAGCCTGCAGGACTATCTCAGACGACTGGACTGAATCGGATCCTCAGTGCTTCCAACACAGCTGCAGGTAGGATAAAAGCTACTCTGCTGTAAAAATAATCCAGACTAGAGTTTCCATGTCTATCATTAAAATGCCAAAGAGAAAAGACTTTGTTTCAGCAAATTACCCGAAAAGACAGATATCAGATTCTAAAAGGTTTCTGCAAAACTGTAAAGTTTATAGTTCTGCAAGAGAAAATAGAGACCAAAGGAGCGTGAACTGTAGGGAAAGTTCAGGGGGGAAAATATTCTTTTGATAGAATAGACCAAAGTAGAGGTGTTTGGCCATAACACAGGGCACTATGTTTGGAAATTTAGACACAAGTTTTAGAGAGCTGATCAGTACGGGCGAGAGTTGCTTTTTGTTTTTTATTAATCTACAGCTAATTTCAGAAATATAAAGCATCTTTAGGACTTGCAAGGGTATAAAAAAAAAAAGCTTGTCCGAGATCATAAGGATTCAGTTAAACCTTAAAACTAGTGTCATCTGAGTCATCGAGGTAGACAAGGTTGATAGTGTCAGATGTGACAAAATCCTTCTGTAGCCAATGCTAGGTCCTTATTCACATGACACCATCTGTCAATCAATCCTGGAGGCTTTCTAGCAACTGACCAATCAACAGCGAGGCCTTTCCTGAGGTCCAACACCCCTCACCTACAGGAGCAGGAACCATTTTACCTAGGACGGATTATCAGGTTTTTCCGTTACTCACACATAGCGGACATGGGGATTTCATTTAAACACTGAGGAAAAAAACAGCTAAATGCTGTGAATGGGGAACATGTAATTCAGATACATTTAACCCAAAGCATTTAAAGGGTGTGCACAGTTAATTATTTTCAAAAACTGAAAACAAGTTTAAAAAAAAGTTAAAGAAGGTCTGCTTACCCTATGAGCAGCCGCATACAATAGTCATCATTAAAGCTATCCGTTGTTTGCTGGTACGAACACACAAGCAAATCCACTTATTGGGCAGTAAAAGTTTGTGTTTAGCTCAGAAAAATATGCTTTGCTTAATAAACTGCATCCAAAGCAGTGTGCTGGCATGGGCTAAAAATATTCATACACACTATGATATACGTGATAAAAACATACTTCAGATTAATACCATCTTGTTCATTTACTTGAATCGCTTACCCACTTTCAATTTGCAAAAACCGTCAGATACAACTTTTTCAATCCCAGCCCACATGATTTTGGGTCCCTTATTATTCTTCCTCTGTCTGCCGAGAGCCGGATAAACTTTCCTGTGTTTTTCAGAGCTCAGTTTGAAATGGCTTGCATTTCCAGTTGGATGGAGTAATCTAACAATTGGAATCACATCAGTTGGGCTGTTGTAAGGGCAGCATTCTCTGTCACATCACCGGTTATGCATCAAAATGGTCTGAAAAGAAGATAATTATGTAACGGTCCATACAAAATCCAAACAGGCAGGAAAATTATAAAGATCTGTAAACCCCAGTGAGTAAAGTTGAGTTGAGTTAAACACCATAATGAAAACAACTGCTACAGTGAGTGCTGCTAAAGGGGATCTGCAAGCTGCTGAAATTTTGTTTTTTTCTTAGTGTTTCTTTTAAAGGCATCCAGCTTTTGATGGTGAGCAAAGGCAAAATTAAGGATTATGGCTACTGGGTGAACATGACATTGGATTCTAGCTAACAGCTGCTGCCAACTTGGAAAAGTCAGAGGATGTACACACATGGACAAAAATGTTGGTGCCCCTTATTTATTGAAAGAAAAGCCCAAGGTAAATCTGGCAAAAATAACAATCTACTGTATAAAAATACTATGAAAATGAACAAATGGAAATCAGACATGACTTTTCGATAAAACAATGGATTTAATAAATAATTCATTTAACAGGCCTGGACAAAAATGATGGTACCCTTAAATTTAAAGTGAACATTTTTAGGTAATCCCTGCAATCAAACTATTCCTGTAATTGTTAATGAGACTTCTGCACCTTTCAACAAGTATTTTGTTCCCACTAATCATGAGCAAACTGCTCCAGTTGTCTCAGGGTTGAAGGGTACCTTTTCTAGATGGCATGTTTCATCTTCTACGAAAGGTGCTCCATAGGATTTAAGCCAGGGATCATGGAGGGTCACTTTAGACTAGTCCAATATTTTCCTCTTAGCCATTATTGGCTTTTTTAGCTGTATGTTTTTAGTCATTATCCTGTTGCAACACCAATGACCTGCAACTGAGACCAGACTTTCTGACACGGGACAGCATATTTCTCTCTGGAAGCACTTAATATTCTTGAGATTTCCATGTTCTCTGCAGATAGTGAAGATACCCCGTTCCACATGAAGCAAAGCAGCCCCAAAACCTAACAAAGCCTCCTACATGTTTCACAGTAGGGTCAGTGGTCTTTTCTTTATATGCTTCAATTATGTATATATATGCCCACTGACTATTTACAAGATTTTAGACGCTTGTGTGGCTTATGAGTAGAAACACCTTGATTTAACCAGTCACTTTAATTGGATTATTTTCAGTCTTTTCTAGAAGTATCAACATTTTTGTCCAGGCCATTCATATGGATATGTATGGAACCCCAAACCGGACAGGACACTCAAACATAAAATGGATTACTATTTTTAGCCATTGGCCTATAATTAATTAAGATACTATGGTACTACTAGTACTACTAGTAGTACTACTACTTGTTACTATGGTGAGGCAGGACAATTTCTATAAGAAAAACACAAATGTTACTGTTAATGTCATCTTGCCTTTTTTAAATGCATTTTGTTTGACCTTTTTTGTGTCACAGAAGCATAGTTCTTTATGGCCACTGAAGCATCTTTCAAATGCTGCCACTTCGATTTTCAGTTACACAAGATAGTAAACAATTCTGCCATGAATATGTGTCAAAAACCAAATGCATAACTCCAGAGTTCATAAAACCGAATGGCCGTTCATATTAAAAGATGCAGTTACCTTTATTGTCAACCTCTAGTACTTAGATGGATTATTACCATCTTACCTTTTTTTTGTATTTTTCATAGTATCTAACAACCCATCCAGGGTCGAAATTTTCGTTTCAGAAGTGGGGGGGACACAAGTATTTTTTAATGTAACTACTGTATAAGGTCAGCTTGTTTTCTAGTGGATCTTCTGTGTTGCTTTCCTCCACTTTCTCTTGGATCTTTCCTATCCTGATCCTGACAAATTATATGAATGCATGACATGAACAATTGGACAATTTGGGGTGCAGCAATCCATGTAGATTAAAAACACCTAGTTTTACAATTATTATGAGCTTGGATTTATAAAAAAGATAGTTTGTATATTTTTCCTTCCAGGTTTCCGGGGTCAGCTTGAGCTGCAGTTTTCGGCTTGGTCCAAGTGCTCGACGATTACCTCTGTATTGTAGCGTGACATTGTTCTTTGGACAGTAAAAGGTGCAGAGGACAAAAACTGACATTTAAAAAGTGCACGGGGCATCTCCCCTGTAACACCCCCCCCCAAATGAAGTCCGTGAACCCATCAGTAATAATATCGCAAGGTAAATTCTAAAGAAAAAGCAGAAGTACAGTTCAATACTGAAATTGTCAAATAATGCGAATGCAGAATAAAAGTCTATTTGGACCCTTTTAAGTTTTCCAGAATTACTGAAACCTCGATTTTTTTACACATTCACATTCTGAAGAAATAACCACTCTGATCATCCTCTGGCAGAAGAGATATAGCTAAACCACATCACTTTTCCTCAGCCATCTTCTGTTCTATAGTTAGATGTGATTGGAAGAGCTTCAGAGCATCATCAGAAAGTCAGACGCAGTCCCTCTGAGTCAGATTGCAGGTCATCAGAGTAAGAACATACTGAGATGTAAAGAAGTAAAAGTAGAGCAGGCAGCAGCAGGTCATTAAACTGGGACACATCTCTGCTCTGATACTGCACTGACATTTCTGCCACATTTCGCTAATTTCTTCATTAGCCCGCTAATGTGTTAATCTCAATACATATCTATCATGACATCTTTTTAATCTGTTTGAGTTACAGCTTCACACAATATTGATCAAAATTTAAAAGGTTGATTGACAACCTTAGCAGTCCCAAAAAATATTCCTTCAATGATATTTCTTTATGTCGGATAATAGTTGCAGACAGGATACAGGAAGAAAGCTGAGAAAATCACACTCTGAGACACACATACACACACCTAGTTAGTGTGTGTGCAGCAGCTGTAATTACATACTGTAATCCATATCATTGTGCAGGCTACAATAACTCTGATTAAAGATTAAATCTCTCTCTGCACACACACAGAGACTGAATGAGTGTATCCTTTCCTTTCTTTTTGCCCATTATGAGACACTCACTGCCACCAAAAGCTCTTTGGCCTTAACTCAGTGCTTCTCCAGGCCAGTCGGAGTGTTTTTCCCTTGTGGCTATGAGTGTATGCATGCGTGCGTGTTTGACAAAGACCTGGCTAGGCAGCCTATCAGCAGTGAGGTCATACTGTATGACATCACTGTAAACGCACAGACCCATGCTTTAGCTGTGGGCCGTTACCCCCTGATTTCCGCAATCAATACTTTTCACATCTGACACAATGATTTACTACTGATTATTTTTTTCTTTTTTCAGTCATTTTAACCCTTCAGCTGAATGTAATTTCTGTTTAGGTTTAGTTTATTTATAACTATTTATTTCCAATAAATAACCATTTTCCAATTTTGGCTAATTCTGCATTGGATGTGTAGCATAGGCATGGGCAATATAGCAGAAATGATTGATCAAGATTTTTCAAATTCTAATTGAATAGAAAAATCCAAAGATTAAAATAATAATTTTATACTTAAAAAAAAATTCTGAAATGATTTAGATGAGTTAATGCAAAGTTCTCAATTTGTGTAAAGAGGGGTAACCTTTAATAAACACATACTTAACATCTTAACTAGTGTATACTTTTATTTAACAGGTAAATAGAAACTCGTACTCGTACTCATACTCGTCGTCTCCCGCTTTATCCGGAACCGGGTCGCGGGGGCAGCAGACTAAGCAGAGACTCCCA